AATTTCTACTGTAATGGACGATGTAGAAGTTCCAATTTTTTACGACGATGAAACTGATTTCATAGGACATGAATATTTACAAGATGTGGAATATGAGTATGAGTATGAAAATATGGAAAGAGAAACATTATTTGAATTATACCAATATTGTCTTCGACCTACTATTTATGATACAATATCATATATATTACCACTATTTATTTCTACCATAATATTTAGATTATGTGCATATTCTCGTAAGAAATTTTTATAAATATATCTATAAATATAATAAAATGGTATAAAATTAAACAAATGATGTTTAATTTAATATTACAGAGCATATATCACATAGAACTTTTCATGTATTGTCAATGTTGATCGGTATATGTAATATTTATTTTTATGTAATAGAATGTTTATATACATTGTTAATACTTTGTATAATTTCATATATTACTTTATATATACCTAAAAAATATTGCAAATATATGGGTATATTTTTACCATCACTTTTTATTATAACATATTGGTAAATTATTATATATAAATATTAATGATTTTTCTTTAAATATAGATAAAAATATAGATAAATTTTCTATATAACTTTTAATTTTCAGTGAATTTACTATGCCACCTATAATATGGCATAAAATACGAAGTGTGGTAATGACTATGGCAATGAAAACAATTAGTATAGCAATAGAGAAAATTGATACAAATAATTCACCTAATATTTATGCCTATATGGGATACATGTTTTGTAGTGTTACATGTCTCTTTGGACCATGGATATCATTTAAAGATTATATATCAATACGTTACATAACTAATCAGGTATATATAATTATTATTATGTATTATAAATTTATTCAATAAAGAAAATTAATATTAATAACATATATTAATTTTAGGATAAGTGGTGGATATTGTATACCATTCAATATGCATTTGTGTCTTTTCTTTTTTTGACTGTATCAAATTGTTGGGCACAATGGATAATTATGGAAACTTCTTGGAAGTTAATAAATATTACTATACTATATTTTATTTTTTGCAATTATTATTTGATATAATTATTATTAATTTCTTTTCAGATGGTTATTAGCTTATAGAGATGCATTAGCTTTTAGAATGTCTCATTATTTTATTTCATATATTGCATCTACTTTATTATTATTAGGAGGATTTCCATTTACATTAAGTACTATAGTGAAACCATTAAAAATAGAATTTCCACGTTCACTTGTACATGTTGTGATTTGTTGGAATATACCAATGCATTTTTGGTTAAAAACATGTATGTATTAATATTTAAATTCTTTATACATATTAAAAATTTAAAAGTTTTTTTATTAATAATTTTTAAACATATTTTTATATAAACTTTAACATTAATAATTTATATATTTTTTTATATAAATTTTCAGATATATTCCGTCCTAGTATAAAATATTTAGGAAAATTTGGAGCTGTAACAATAACGTACTTAACGAGTGCTCTTTTACATGGATTAAATTTTCAGTTAGCAGCAGTTTTGCTTAGTCTTGGATTTTATACATATGTAGAATTTCAACTTAGATTTATGCTTGCTAATATTTTTGATGCATGTATTGCATCAAAACAGTGTACTAAAAATAAATGTACACACACATATAATACTCATAATTCATGGTGGGTTTTTTTAATAAATATTATGTTTTCTGGGTTATCAATTTTTCATTTAGCTTATTTAGGTCTTATGTTTGATACATCTGAATTACAAGAAACAGGATATAGTTATATTCATACTATTGAAAAATGGTCTCAACTTGGATTCGCTAGTCATTGGGTAGTATTTGCTACATATTGCATATATTTTTTAATCAGATAATATTAAATGTATAAATAAGATATTATTATTTTTTAATATTGCAAACATAGACATAATATAATATACTATATACATAATATTTATGCTATCATTAATTAACGTAAATTCTACTGTCTTAATTTACAATATTTAGTATGAATTATAAATTGAGCAAAAGAACATTTATTATATATTCTTGTACAAAATAAAAATAAAAACAAAATTTGAATGTATGGATTAAATATAATTCTAAAAATAAAATAAGTAAAATAAGTAAAATACATAATTTTTATTAAGTATACAATATAGTATAAATATAGTGTTTACATATAAGTTTACATAAAGAACATTAAATATTTAATATATAATAACTCTAAAAAGTTTATATACTTGCTAAAATAATTCATTATATACCGACATATTATATTATCAAAAGATAATGTATATGAAACTTTAATATAATTATAACAATGAATAAAAATATTTTTCCAGTATAATAATAATGTTGCACTTTAATTTATATTATATTAGTACAATAATTAATTATATTAGTACAGTATTATACAATAAAGAAAATCATATTTATAATATTACAATATAATGTGCGTATATTGTAAATCAAATTAGAAAGATTAGATTAAATAAAATATTTAGAGTTAGTTATATTTCTCTTTGTAAAATATATAAAAAAATTTGTTTATGATTTAATTGTACATTTAGGGCAAAAATTGAAAATATATGTCCATATATACATATTTATTTTTTTTTTTCTTCATTTTCTTTATATAATAAAAATAACATAATATTTATAAAACACATTATATGATATTAAACATATTTATAATCTAAATAATAATTAATCAAAATTTCATAAAAAATATATTGATTTTTATTAAAATAAAATTTTTCTAATATACTATTATGAGAGTACATATTGCTTTTTAACTTATTATTATAATTTTATAATCAATTTTATTAATGTAATTAAATTTCACAAAAAAATATTAAATATGATATTCAATTTTTAATTCACAAATTATTTAAATGATAATATAAATTTTTAATCATAATTTGGTAACTTTGATTCATAATTGAATCAATTTTTTTTCTTAAAACAATGATATTTATATTTTAATTAATAATTAATTTTTTTAATTAGAAAAGATTTATTTTTTTCGTTTTAAATTTTAATAAGATACAACATTTTATTTTACATTATTAAAATATCTTTATCATTATGTACTATTCTTTTAAGAAATACACTAATTTAACAAAATATTTATTAATTTTTGTATGTATATACACATTATAAATATACAAGTTATGTATATATTTTTCTGAAATATAAATAAATGTATAGCATTAGTAATAAATTTTTCATATTTTCATCATGTTACATGTTATTAATGACATATATTTACTAATTTAAATACATATATAAATAGAATAAAATAATAATTTTACATAAATCATATTATGCATAATCATGTCCAATCAACATTAATCTTTCATTCTCTCATGAAAGTATTTTAATTATTATTTTATCGTCATCATAAAAATGAAGTTCACAAAGTTTTTTTTATATATTTAAAAACTAACTTAAAAATATATAGTAAAATTGTTTTAGCATTTAATATTATGAAAATTTTTAAAATATTATCTTATCAAACTGTAATTTTTAAATATAAAGTAAAATTATGTAGCAAAATGTATATCATTATTAGCAAAACAGTTTAAACAAAAAGTAAATTACTAAGAAGTATAAAAATCACCATAAAATATTGTTTAGGCTAAATATTTTGTTTTATAAATGCTATTACAATTAAAAACATCTAAAAGCAGTGCTTTTTATTAGAAAAACAAGGCGTGAAAATGTATCAACATTTATAATAGCAACAGTATCTTTATCATCTTAGATTTATAATTGTATTTAACAGCATTTCTACATATTAACTTACATACGTTATTTACATAATATATAAAGCTATGAAACAAATATTAATACATATAATTATATCTTCAGATTATTTAAAAAAAATATTAAAATTTTTATTAGAATAATTTTTAATTATATTTATAAACTATGTATTTCTAATTATATTTATAAACTAATATAACATTAAAATTGTTAGTTCAAATTGTTTTTTCATAAAATTTGCATCTTCAATTTCAATTATTTATAATATTTATGCTTTTTTTCTATAGTGAAATAAGAAAATTTTTATATTTCACAAGATCTTTTATTATTTTTTAGTTATTTCTTAAATCACATTTGTTGATATGTTTTATATTAATAACAGTAGAAAAAAATAAAAGCAAATTACTTATTTCTAAATATTTATATTAAATAAAATAATCTGAAGATATAGTTAAAATTGCTACATATTATTAGTATAATTATATTGATTATAATAATTTTATGTTAAATAGCACGTATGTAAGTATTATATATAAATTGATCTTTGATACATTATGATTGCAATTTCTCATTAATAATATATATAATTAGCACAATAACAAGTTTCTACAATCTACTAATTCTAATTATAAAATCCATATCATCACAAAAAATAAACTTAAAATTTAAAAATCTATTTAATATTTATAATTCAGTAGATATATTTTATAGATTCTATAGATTCTATAATTCAATAGATATATATTCAAAAATTATATTTAAACTTTATCTTTTATAAGAAGATAAATAAATTATATTAATCACATAGACATAAATGAAAATACATATTAGGATTTTAAGTTTCTATTCATTTTATTCTTTTTCTCATTGAAAATAATAGAAATTATGATTCATATGAACTATTGCATATTAATAAACATTAAAATTAAATTTTATAATTAATAATGATTTTAAATATTATAAAAAGAAACAAAAAATAAACAAAAGAAAATATTGATCATTTCATACGAAAATCTTTGTGTACAAGATTGATAATATATATAATTTAATAAATAAAAAATCTCTATATGATTATCGATATAATATTTTAATAAAATTTAAGCTCGAATAAATTTTAATACATAATTTTTTACTAAAAATAGCAAAAAGTAAATAATGTGAAAATTTTTAAACTTAAAAATTAATTGATAATATCCATAATTATTCACAATTATAATAATAATATTCATATTATTTTTCTGACCAGCAGAAGAATAGTGTAGTAAATTAAGATCAATAAAATTATATTTTGTTGCTTTTACGAACGTTCAACGTATCGTAAAATATGGAAGAATTTTTAAAAATCATGTAGAAAACATTCATGATTATGAGAAACTTATAATCCAACTTTAGAAATGTAAACATAAAATAATTAATTTGAAAAAGGTATATGATAATAATAAGACTTTTTGATCTTTTTCGATCACAACAGTTATTTAAGTTGAAAATGGATGATTAGTGAAATGTTTTTACTGAATGATTGAATTTAAACGATGAGATCTTCTGCGTTGTCGAGATGCTTGAGTTATCAGATTGTCTTCCCCAATGCCATTGAGAATATCGGTTAGTCATCTGATAAATGCAGTTTTATAACTTTTGGTCGTTCGTGCACTGCAAGTCATAGAAAGAAATCGAAGCAGTTCGTTAGCAGTTCATTTTAGTGTTATTTAATATCTAAATTTCAAATGTAATTTATTTAATTTCATAGAAAAAAATGATAATTGTATTTAACAAAAAATTATTTTAAATTTGAACTTTTATACAATTTAAAATTTTGCTAATCAATCTTATATACAAAAATTAATAAATATATAACATTATCATTTTTGTTTTTTTTAAATTTAATAATATCTTAAAGATTATATTATGTTTTGAATAAAGATTTCTTGTCAATACATGCAACATTTAATATTAATAAAAAGCTACATGCAAGTTCTTGTTAATGATAAATATAAGATTTATAAATATAATTTTTTAGATTTTTCTATATATATATTATATACAATTATTAAAATAAAAATATTTATAATATTATAATTTATAATATATATGATGTATTTAAAAATTGAGAAATTGCATCAAAAAAATAAAATTACAAAACTGACTTACGTAATAATTATTTCAATAAAAAAATATATTTATATTTATTTTTAAATATATGAAAAAAAATTTAAGATTAAAAAAAACTTGTTTAAAAATTTTAAGTTAAAAATTGTTCATAAAAAGAACTATATAACTGTTACTTAATAAACATTTTGAAAGTAACAGTTACAAAGAGACTTACTGTCTTAGAGAATGATAGCGATTTACTCGATCTGCAGACCTGAGAATCATATTCATGCCTCGCTGCGGTTGTGTAATCAAATTATTTGCAGATGCATTTGTAGTTTGAGTCTCTGTGAGGCAGGAAGTTTTTATACTGGCCCTTGTCACTGGTTTTGATACAGACATTGATGTAACACGTGTATTAGAAGATGTATTGTTGTTGATATTATGAAGTCGTGTTGTTGGTTTAGTAGACTTTACACGATGTGAAGGTTCACATGTACTATTCACTAGCCAATTATTTCTATAATTTTTAGTATACTGTGAGTTTACATTTACTTGTACAATCTTCATTAATTATAATACAAAACTAACAAAATTTAAAAATAAAAGAAAAAATTATTTTAAATAAATAATAATAAAATTTAAGAAATTTATGAAGTGAATTAAATAAAATTTAGTTCTTAACCTTTTAGAGATTGTAGTTGTAGTAGTAGATCTAGGAAGGAGTCTTTTTGTTGAATCCTTTTCTTTATTTCCACTTAATGTATTAACTGTACTCTTTTGAGTTCTTGTTTGTAATAATGATCTTAAATAAGGACTAAAAAAAGTAATATTTATTTATTAATTATTCTATTTTGTTAATAATTAATAAAAATAATTATTAATATAATTAATAAAAATAAATAATTAATAAAATTATATTATGATACTTACTTTACTACTGTTGATGGTCTAGAAGTTGTATTTAAAGAAGTATGATTCGTTGGTAAACGTTTTCTTTTAGCTTTTATTTGATTCAATTTATCACCTTGAGTTAAGGTAGTACTAGTACTTGCATGATCATCTAATGTAATTCCATCTACACAATGCATTATTCCTGAAACATTATCTTGCATCACGTGAGCGGTTTTTAAACTGGATAAAAATGATGTCTTTGGTCTACCAATTATAGAATATATTCCATATTCATGAACTGGTTTTCCATTCTGAGCTTGTAATGGCTCTTTTAGTAAAGAATGAAGATATGCTTCTTTTCTAAAATATAGAATTTATGATTTTTTTTAATATCAAAAATTAAATTATTTCTAAATTATAAACTGAAAACATTGATATATTGATACATACTTTTCTAACCATTCCTGTTGATGTCCAATTACTGAACCTGGCCTACATATTCGTATCCATGCAATTGTTTCATGAGCTGTTAAATGATAATGTTTCATAATATAACAACCTATCAATGAACCTGTTCTACCAAGTCCAGCTCTACAATGTACAGCAACAGCGCCACTTGCATTTTCTGCTATTTTAAGAAATTGTCGCATAATTGAATCTGTTGGAGTTGAACCATCAAGAAAAAACAAATCTTTATGGTCAAATCCAGCATCCGTGAAGATTGAAGCATCATAAATTTTTTTATTAAGACGTATAATTGTAGTTACATTATTGTAATGAAAATATGTAAAATATGATTCTGGTGCATGAAGTGGATATCCTAATAAATAAAAAATAAAGATAATGAATTCAAAAAATATGAATAAAAGTATTTATTATAATTTAATCTAAAATTAAACTTACCATTCTCTATTTTGAATTTAGCATAAGGGCCACAAAATGCTATAAATTTACCAGGAATAATCCAATTTAAATCTCCATTTTCCACTCTTTCAAAATATTCATATTCTTTAACACAAAAATCTTGAAAATTAAAAAATCCAAGTTTGTGACACTTATATATAGCACTGAGACACTCAATCAAAGATATTTCAAACCATGGTGTACCAACAGAAGCATCTCGAAACATTATAAATGATGGACTATCGGGATTATTGGTTAAGCAATTATATGCTTCTTCTGCAGTATGTTTACAATATAATATCTAAAAAATACATATTGAATAAATTTTATTTTTTTTATATATTTATCAACATGAATGCAATTAATATAAAAATATCCTACAGCATAACTTCCTATAAGAAAAGCAGCATTAACTCTCTTTGCTGGATCCATTATCGTATAATGTATAATCTTTTTCTTTCTTAATGTTACTGCTTTAAGTTTTTTATTAACTTTTTGGCAATAATGATATAACATAGCAAGATTTAATGGACCAAAATCATCATAGAAATTTTCATAAACCAATTCATCATCAATACTGAAATAATGGGTGTTTGGAGTACTCTTTGGTTTTGTCATTGTCTTCAATGTGACAAAATATAATCGATCTATAGCATAAAAAAAATATAAGTGATATATAAATACATTAAATATTATGATACTTTAATTATATTCTTTTTAAAAATTTGTTACCTTTTATGAATTCTGAAGCACATAATAATAAGTCATTTGTATCCTCCATTATTGATTTGTATTTATTATCTGATGATATGAATACCAACTGAACAAGCCTGTCATCAGCGTAGCCGATATAAGAAAGGATACAATTTAATTAACACAATCAGAGATCATAAATATAAACACACAGAAGGTTAGAGTAGATGTAGTAAAGGTAAACTGGATCCATCTACCTACACACGGTTATATTTGCATGGTATGTGTAATACGAACGAATTCATAATTAGAATGCTATACACGACAATACGATATATTATATTAAAAAAGTGTTTGTACTTACCTATGCGACCGTTACAAGATTCAAACTTGGTCAATGAAGAATTGATGATGGCTGATCAATTACGTTATAGATCTCTTCCGGTTTATTGCATATTGAAGTATATGTTATTTTATAATTAACATATTATATTTTTTTTTACTATTCAAACATAATCATTTTATAAAATATTGATAAAATATTTATTCATTATATATACTATCATTATCCTTTACAAGAATAAAGAGTAGTTTTTGAATATACTGCCATGTTGGTTATCCCGTAATGTAAAACTACGACGTATGAATTCAATATCTAGAACAAGAAACATTGTGAAATGTTCACTAATATTACGAATATCTTGTATAATATTTTAAAAACTTTAAACTGAAATACAATAAATGTTAAATATTTATAACAATTATATTGTGTTGATTTTTATTCTTTATTTACATAGATTAAACAATTATTCCATTAATTATAAAATAGCGCACTCTATTAAATAAAAATTCCCTATATTTCGTATCAATTATTATTAGTTTTTTTTTAATTTTAATTTTAAATTTATTTGTATTTATATTTATATTTATAACAGATATTTTAATTAATATCTTTTGAATTTATTATTTATAAATTATTATGTTTTTGTATCTCTTAGTTATATATTTGAATAAGAATTTTTGAATAAAGATCTTTTTATGACATCTGTTATGTTTTTATTCTTTGGATTTCTACCAATTGCGCCGATCATTTATTGGTGTAATTTTAGTGTAATAAATCGCAATCATAACTTAATAATCATATTTAAGCGAAATAGAATAAATCTTTATAGATATAATTATAAGACGTTGTTTAGAATATGGTTCGGAATGACGTTTTTCGATATTAATTGAATGAAAAAAAAAAGATAAAATGGAAAGTAAAGAAAATACTCAGACAAATGTATTTTTGTCAGAATACATACCTTCAAAAACATTTATATTTTCCGAACCATATACATTTAATGCTCCTAAGCAGATAATGGATATATCTGGGAAAAATTCATTTACTTTTGCTATGCCAATATTAGCAACACAATCTAATAATCAAGATATATGTGTTTTTCAACCGGATATATGTGAGAAGCAATATAAACCAAAAATTTCAAGAAATTCTTATAAATCTGCTGTTAATGTATTTGCTCAAGCACTTAAAGATACTGCAATGTTTGAGCAATTAAAAAAAAATTCTAGATCACAAATTACTAAAATTAATCCAGAAAATTCAATAACATGTACAAATGTACCTCAATCATTACTTACTAAAGTAACAGCAAAAGAATATTTTATTCAATTCGGAAATCTTTTAAAAATAACTATACGTCCTAAAAAACAAATAATTACAGTTATCTATGCTACCAACGAAGAAGCAAATGTAGCTTACAATAAAAGTGGTGAATATTTGGGTGAAAAATTTAATATAGAATGGACAAAATTATCTTCTTTGCCAAAATCTCCTACAAAGAAAAAAGATTTACAAAAAAATATTGTATCACAAATTGTATCTAATTTTTTTAAATCATCTGATGATGAAATCAGATCAGAGATAGATGCTATGACAAATTTAGAATATAATGTACACAGTAGAAATAATTTTAGTGGAACTTTAAGTAAAAAACATAAACCATTACAATCAAAAAATATATCAAAGTCAGTTACAAGATTAACAAAAGCTGAAAAACATAAATCTGATAGTCAAATATCTGATCTACTACCTAATGCCACAATTGAAGAACTACAAAATATAATTCAACAACCTGCACATACTTCCGAAGATAGATATAAAGTATTAGAAGCAAGAGATCGACTTATACGAATGAGACAAGTTAGATCACATACATTAGCAGCAGCTAAAGTAATGATTGGAACATGTCCTGATATGTGTCCTGAAAAAGAACGTTTAATGCGTGAATCAAAAAGACAAGTGGCATCATACGAACAACTTGAAACCAATGAATATGGAATAAATCATATGAGAGCAGTCAAACAATATTCTAGATCTTCTGCAGATCAAGAAGAACCAATGGCTCATGAATTAAGACCAGTAAAATCTTTAAAAATGACTATGAGTTATTTATTACATGAAATAGTAAATCTTTGTGATAAACAAGGAACAAACTTGGGAGACTGGTATTATTTTTTATGGGATAGAACAAGAGGAATTCGAAAAGATATAACACAACAAGAATTATGTTGTATTGATAGCGTGGAATTAGTTGAACAATGTGCTAGATTTCATATAGTATGTTCTGAAAGATTATGTGCTGAAGAAACATCTGTTTTTGATAAAAGAATCAATTCAGATAATTTAACAAAATGTTTACAATCATTAAAATATATGTATCATGATTTGAGAGTAAAGGAAATTAATTGTAAAAATGAACCTGAATTTTGGGCATATATTATTTTATTAAATTTAAATAATGGCAATTTTATGTGGGATTTACAAAGATTGCCAAACAATATACAAAAATCATCAGAAGTTCAATTTGCATTAGAAATATATTCTGCTCTTGAATCAAATAATTATTATAAATTTTTTAAACTTGTTCAAAAAACTACATATTTAAATGCATGCATCTTACTCAGATATTTTAATCAAGTAAGATTAAAAGCATTATCAGTATTAGTCAAAGCTTATTGTAGAACGGCATCAACAGCATATCCATTATACGAATTGATTGATATTTTAGGTTTTGAGGATGAAAATGAAGCTATATATTTTTGTGAACAAGTTGGTTTAAGCGTTTCAAAAGATGACTTACATGTATTATTGAATCGACATAATTTTAGTATGCCTGTATTAAATATAAAACAAAAGAGAGCACACAATTTAATAGATTCTAAAAGAATTATACAACATTTATCTATTGGAGAATGTATAGCAGGAGGAAAAATGCCAGAAAAAACTTATAAATATCATAAACCTCACAATAGTTTTGATTTACATGGTTATTTAATGCCTAATTCTATTAATGCAGAAGATCAAAATAAAAATATTATTTTTACATCAAATGATCCATATGAATTTAGAGATGAAGATGTAATACAAAATGAATCATTAAAAGAAATATTGGAAAAAAGTCAAAACAATAATGAAAATATGGTTAATATTGAACACACAACATTAAAATGTATTTCAAACATTGAAGCAGATACAAATCTTTTAACATCCATAAAATCTAATTCTGATGAATCTTGTCTCTCTAAATCTCATGCAGAAATCAATAAATCTCAGACACACACAAATTTGAATATATTAGTAAAATCAAAACCAGAAAATCAGAAAAATTCAAACACATTTAGTTTCATATCCAAACAGCATTTAAATGAATCTTCTGTTTCACCTAATGTATTTAATGTAACATCAACAATTTCAAATACTTCTAATGTATTTGTCAAACAATTTGAATCATCATCAAATCATGATAAATCTCCTTTTGTAATAACTATAAATAAAAACATATTTTCAACAATGCCACAAGGAAATATATTTACGAAAAATCTTACACCTTCCACTGTTCCAAAATCACTGAATATTATAAATTCTGTAAGTATAACTAAAAATATATCAAAAGAAGCACCAGAATTTATGAATAAAACCGAAATAAGAAAACAAATTGTACAAGATGAAAAAATAGAAAAATTAAAAGTAGAACAAGAATCTATTAAAAAAACACAAGAAATTAATGATACTGCAAAAGATATTTTAAATATTTTAGAAACAGAAATAATAAAAACATATTGTTCTACTATAGTGAAAGAAGAAATGGATAAAATATATATTTACAATACACTTGGTGAAGATATTAATAATAAAGTTTTAAATGAAGTAACTTATGAAATTTGCAATAATTTATTAAAGGAAGAAATCAATGTTCAAAAATTATATGAAATGTCAATGAAAATAAAAAATAGAGTAATTATAAAATATTTAAAAAAATGGAAATGTAATACATTAAAAAAAAAACAACAAAGAAGAGCATTAGAAAATACACCAGTATGGTTACAAAAATATTCTAGTGAACAATGTGCAAAATTATTATACTCTAAGGAACAAGATGTAGTTATTAAAAACATGTGTAAAAAACAAGATGAACAAAAAGATATCAAATATTATTCTGAATCTTTAGCACCAATTAAAGTTATTATTTACATTGGTATTAAAGAATACTTAAAAACTTTAGACATTAATATACAATCCAATTATTATTGGAAATTAGTTATTTCATGGCCAAATTTACACAATAAAACAGTTTTATGGCATTATAAAAAAGTAATGAATCAATATCTTTGTCCTGAAGATTATACTACAGAACCTATTATAATATTATATCAACCAAATCAAGTTGAAACATTGCATATATGTATTAGACATTTTGAAGGTCTTATTAGTGATCATAATTTAATAGGATCAGACGCTCTTTTATTCATAGCAGATGCTTCTGAAGAAATTAAATTTGTTGTAAAACGTTTAATGAATGCTGTATTAGCAAGAGACAAACTTATGCCTATACCACTTGTATTTATTATTTTTGGTCATTCAATCTTTCAAACCCAAGATGGAGAAATTATTTCTAGTTTGGAAAAGTTGTTGAAATCTGGATATTTATCAGTATACACAATTATCCATGAAAAAGATTTGACTGAGAAAACAATTTTAAATTTAACACAAAGTGCAATACTTTGGTTATCCTTAAATAAATCTTCTCAAAATCCGCTAGAAATGAATTATTTACAAAATATTTATAATACTTATTTAACAGAAGATTTATGGTTAAGGTATTATAATTAAAGAAATATTATTTAATAATTTTTTTTTTATTTATTTCATTATCTTTAAAATCTTATTTATATAATTTTTGTATTTTTATATTTTCTACAGGATATATGATAACTCATTTTTTAATGAAAAGTTATTACATGCTTTAGAGGAACCTAATTTTATAATTAATTTACATAATGAAGCAGTTTCTCATATAATAGATATAATATTAAGCCCAGAAACTTTTATGTATACAAAATTTGCTCCAGAATTTAAAAAATTTGTCAAAAATCAATATATGATGCCATGTAGTTATGAATATTTTGATGATGTTTGGAAAAATGAAGATTATAAAGCAAAATTAGAAAAAGTGATGTCTAGTTTTAAGCTACCTCAATGGAAGTAAGAAATATAATTAATTTTTGTATTATATTTAATATTAGTTTATGGATTTAATTAAATTTATATATATATTTATTTTAGGTATTCATGGCCTATAAATAATAATATCATATTTCATCAAAATATAACAAATTACTGTCAAGAAGCATTGTTTATTTCTGACAGTAATGAAATATCTTGTAATATATTAAGTAACATTTTTATTACAACAGGAATTTCCACTATATCAAATTTTATCAACATTTTATTGTACATTATTAAGCAAAAAATACATCTTCTTGATAAAGATTTAAAAGTAATCTATAATAAGAATTATATGAAATACTTTCAGACATTACCATGGTGGTTGAAATCCAATCTATTAATTCAATATAAGATTGTATCAAAAAATGTTAATATTCAAGAAACTGAAAAAGAAAATAGAAAAAAGAATAATATCAATGAACCAGTAGTAAAAAAACGGAAATTAAATAAATATCAAGAAAACAATGTTGAATTTGAATCATTAGCAACATTTTGTGAAAATAGTCGTAGTCAAATTATGGAAGTGCATTACATTTCAAAAAAAATTGAAAATCGTTTAAAGGAACATCAACAACAAAGTTATTCATTTGAAAAAAAATTAAAAGATGCTTTATTTAATGAATATTTAATGAAATGAAATATTTTTTAACAAAATGTAACATATAAAAAAAGTTAATGTTATATTTATAATACTTTATAAAATCTATTGTGTTTACAGTATTATTTAAGAAATAATGAATTCATGTATATACTATAAGTAATATTTAACTCTTTAACATATAATTATATCATATAATTCATTCCTCTGAATATTACATTGTAAAAAATAAATGGGTAAAGTATAATATTTATTACAAAATTGTGAAGTTATATATATTGTATTTTAATTATGAAAATTGAAATGAATAGTATTTTTATTCCTTTTACTCAGAAAAAGTAAATATTGTATTGCTAAGAAATGCTCTGAAGTTTTTGGATCATACAAAAGCAAATCTGTACAAATCTATTTTTTTATTCATCTTCATATGATACTACTATTCAATGTTATTTTAGATCTTAATTTTCAGCTATATGCATTCATATTTTTGTGATTATATTTACCTATCAAAAATATTCAATTATATTTATATTTCTTTTAAGGATTTTTTTTCAACCAATTATTAGATATTTATTTGTTTATATATTATTTTAACAAAGAATTTGGTTATAAGATGGCATCAAATATTTACAAAATTTTTGTCATATATAATTTCACATTCTTTTGGTAAATTAATCAAATTAATTAATATAACAATATTTTTAATAAAGAATAAATAAAATTATTATATATTATTTATTTATTTTTAAGATATAAAAGATATATAAGATAACATTAAGATAACATATTAGATTTTAAGATTTACTATATTATTATAAGCTGTTTTGTTTTAATTTTTTAATTAGTTTTTCTATTTTATGTGATTTTCTTATTTTTCAAGATTTTCTTTCATATAACTATTGTATTCAGGAAAAATTATATTTATTTAAACAATGAGCTATTTCACACTTTCTGTTTTTCTCTGATTTATAAAAAAGAAAATTGGATAAAATACATAATATTAATATATGTATAGTAGATAGTAATATGCAATAATATATAATATACTAATATATTAATAAATATATAATAATAATGATTAACTTAACTTTACATTGAAATTTTTGTATATATTAATATGCACAAATATGCATAATAAATTATTATATGAATATATTGTATTATTGTATAAATCCTTAGAGACATAATGTTTACAAGAAATATAGATACAATATAGGCATCTATATTTAAAATGCAAATTATAGCAAAATATTTATATTTTTATGGCTAAAGTTTTGTATGTTTTTGATAGAGATTTGATATAAGTTGATATACAAATTTTTATATATTTTTGGTATCAATTTATTAATATAACTTGATAACCAAATTTTAAATCAAATTTTTTATTTTTGGTATCATTTTGATAATAAAATTTATATAAAAAATTTGGCAAAAATAGAATTAATTTAAAGATATCTATAGAAATATATTACAGAAATATATTTAATTTTTATTTTCTAAAATGATAAAAGATAATATTAAAATAGAATTAATTAATTAATCAATTAAATATATATTATATATACATATAACAAAAATAATAATAATTGTAAATTTATTTAAAATATTATTTTCTGTTTATAACAAAATTTTAAGTTTTTGTTAATAAAGATTTTAAATATTTCATTAATATGCATTATTTTTGAAAATGCTCCTTTATTTCTACTGCGACCTCTATTGGAAAATTATTATACAAAAACTTTTAAATTTTAACGAACTTTTTAAATGTTCAGTATTTTATTCGCTTTAAGAATTGTGTGACTAAAGAATTTAGTGTTTTTTAGTGTGTCATTGTAATTCTTAATCTACATATATTGATGCTCTTTCTACAATAATAAAGTTTAAATTGGAAATAAAATAATTTAATTATTTGTAAGATGCAGTAATGTTTTATAAGTGTGCGAGTTAATTCATATTTTAAATTTTATTTATTCATTATTTCATATTTTTAAATTAAGTGAATATTTAAATTTTGAATTAACATCATTATGTCTCATTTAAAATATATGAAAGAAATAAATAATTTAACTCGCATGGATGAAACTATTAAGGGACCTCTTCCACGTTGGCAAAAAAAATGTTTAGAAACATCAAATTCCAGGTATTACTTTATTATTTTATTAAAAATAAAATATATATCTCTATATTACATGTATTTATACAGTGTCAACATTAATTCATCACGAAAAATTTCAAATGGATCATTTGCAAATAGTACTACAGGAAAAACACCAACAAAAAAGAATGATAATCGAACGAAAAAGACACCTTCTAAAACTTCTAAAAAATCTCCAAGTATGAATTATTTTTATAATTTAGGATAATTAATATATAATGATAGAATTTCTACATATGACTAATATATAATGATACATATAAAAAAGCTCTATGTAGATTTTAAATACTATCTAATTAGGTCATACTTCTACACCAGCTAAAACACCTAGTGGTGGTGATAGATTTATTCCATCAAGATCAACTACTAATTTTGATCTTGGTTATTATAAGGTACATGTATAATTTTTTAATATAAATTTTGTCATTTTAATATGATAATGAAATTCATTAAATATATTTTTTTTTAATTTTTTCAGATTCAACAACAAACAAATGCAGAAAAAGATGAAGAAAAACTAGACAATGCAAGTCCTTCCAAAAGGGAAATGCAGCGACTTATGGGAGAAAATTTGCATGGTGGTGATATTAATCAAATGAGAGTTTTATCTTATCAAAATAAAGCACCAGCTCCTCCAGAAGGTTATCAAAATCCATTGCGTGTTGTGTATAGTCAAAGTAAAACACCAGCAAGCATAAAAACTTCTACAAGATATATACCACAAAATCCAGATAGAATATTGGATGCTCCAGAAATTGTTGATGATTATTGTAAGAATCTTTGTTCAATATTTATTATTATTAAACAATCATAAAAATTTATAAATTTATTTCAGATTTGAATTTGATTGATTGGTCAGAAAGTAATATTTTAGCTGTAGCATTAGGTGCTAATGTATATTTATGGAATGCTGCAACAGGAACTATAGAACAATTACTTGAATTAAATGGTAATGATTATGTTTGCTCTGTTGCATGGATTCAAGAAGGTCCATATTTAGCTGTAGGCACTACAATAGGAAATACAGAACTTTGGGATTGTAGTCAAACAAAAAGAATACGTGTAATGAATGGACATGCAGCCAGAGTTGGTTCTCTTTCTTGGAATTCACATATTTTAACAAGTGGTTGCAGGTAAAAATTTTTATAATACATATTAAAATAAAAATGTTAATACATGTATTTTATACAGAGCAGGACAAATAGTGCACCATGATGTTAGACAAAGAGACCATTTAATATCAACAATTAATGCACATGTTCAAGAGGTATGTGGTTTAAAATGGTCACCTGATGGAAAGTATTTAGCAAGCGGTGGTAATGATAATATGCTTCAAATATGGCCATCAGTATCTGTACAAAGCCATACAAACACACAACCAATTTATTCACTAAATCAACATCAGGCTGCTGTAAAAGCTCTTGCATGGTGTCCATGGCAAAGTAGTATTCTTGCTAGTGGAGGTGGTACTGCTGATAGAACAATTCGATTTTGGAATTGTAACACAGGTAAAGAAAATAATCAAAACAATTGTATATACATATATGTCATATATATAATATCCATAATAATAAAAATAATTAATTTCATGAAAAAATTTTTTTTATTATTTAATATTTATACAATAGGTGTATGTTTAAATATGGTAGATACCAAATCACAGGTGTGTTCTTTGCTTTGGTCTACAACATATAAAGAAATTGTATCAGGCCATGGATATGCACAAAATCAATTAATAATTTGGAAATATCCTGCAATGACAAAAGTTGCAGAACTTACAGGCCATTCTAGTCGTGTTTTACACTTAGCGATGTCTCCAGATGGTACTACCATTCTTAGTGCAGGAGCTGATGAAACTTTAAGATTGTGGAAATGTTTCCAACCTGATCCATATAAAAAAAAAGATACAAATGAAATAAAAGCTGTTGCTTCTAGACTTAAACAATCAATTCGATAATGTTCTTATATTAATTTATATTTATTTTTTAATTGAATAATAAATGTGACTAATGATTTGTATTTTACTAGATGTGAAAACTTGTAATACAATTTCTAGTATCATTATTTGTTTATCAATGTATTTAAAATAAATTTGAAATACTTGGTACATAGAAGTATCGAGCCATTTTTAGTTATAGGTATTTCATTTTTATAAAAATAATTATATGCATAAATAATATAAACCAATATAATTGACATTTGGATATTTTTTTTATCTATTATAATAAAAACAATTAAATATAAATAAATATATAATTAAAATTATTTTTTTTTTGTATTTAATTTACTTTCGCATTGTGTATAATATTTTAAATATGAAAAAAATATATTAAATCTCCCCACCTTTCATATAACGATATTAAAATTTTCAGAGAACCACTTCTTAGCCTAACCTTTCTTTGAAATGATTTGAGTAAACAATAATTCGTGTTAAAATATATCAACAATCTAAAATATTTTTATTTTAAAATTTAATAATAAGATAAATATTTTATAATAATTTTTGTTTTAAAAGAAAAATATATAATAAAGTATAATAATAACAATTATATCAGAGAAAAAACTAGTGCATAAATCTTTACAATTTGATTAAAAAGAAATGGATGAAGGAAATTCTAAAAATATAATAATAAGATCGCAATGTAAATATGATCACATTTTTTCTTCAGAAAATGTGAAAGATGATAATGAGCATGATTGGTGGGCAAGTGATAGTGCATCAAGTACTGGATCATATTATTCAGATACAGATAGGTAATTATTATTGATATCTATAGGTAATTATTAATTATAGATAATTAATATTTTAATCCTTTGTATTATTAAAATATATATCATTATTATATAATATATTATCAAATTTATATGAATTATTATAGTTCTACAGCAGAATGGGAATCGGAAATTAATTCTAATGGGGAATTGATTTATATAGAATCTGCAATAGATAATGTAAATGATGAACAATTTTCATTCACTGTAACAAAACTTGATTCTCAACCAGAATTGATGCGACGTCGTAGTACAAGAGCTGGAAAACTCATGCGATTTATAAAACGAAAAGAAAGTAAACGTCTGAGTACAAGGAATAAAAAAAATAATTTTAATGTTACAGTAAATAATATTGGAAATTCAGGAAAAGATGGAACTACAAAGGAAGTTACTTTTAGAGACTTTCAAGTAAATAATTTCAATTATAATTTAAATATTTTTAAAATAATAATAATATATTTTATTAAAAATATGTATATCTAGGCAGGTGAAACCCGAGAAGTTATATTATGGGTTGATCCTGATAGACGACATAAATTGGGAAGGAGAGCTACATTATGTGAAGCATATTTTGGAATTATTCCAAGTGTTTTTTCTGACAAAACACGTATTATGGTTGCTGGATTTATACCAGATGGAGAAGCAATAAAAAATAAAAATATTAAAATTGGAGATTGGCTACGAAGTATAAATTCAAATAATGTTACATATCAAAATTTAGATAATATATTATCTGAAATAACAGTTTCAACAAATGTAAGAATTAAAATTTAGAAAATATTAAATTTAATTGATATTTTACGAAAATTATAAAATATTTTATTATATAATCAATTTTTATTCTTTATTTAGGTAACATTAGAACTACAAAGAATTGCAGGTATTGATGTTACAGCAACATTATCTGGATTAAATTGTCCTAAAGTAATTATAATGTATATGATTATAATGTATATTATAATTCTAAAGTATATTTATGTATATATAATTATATACATAATATAAATATAATTTAAGTAAAATTTAAGTAAAATTTGAAATTAATAATAATATATTGTTTTTTTTATTATTAGCAATCTGTATTAGTACAAAGATTAATGAATAAAGAGGAAAGTAAAGATTTAATGCAATCAATAATAAATTATCCACTTGGTGTATTATATCTACAAACCACTGAATTATCAGAAGTGGGACCAGAATTACAAGGTGTTTTATATACATTTCCTCGATCAGAAAATAAAAATATGCATTCTATATTATGTACAGCAAGAGGAGCTTTTATAACTCTCAATCATTTATTACCAGAAATTGGTGGTTTACAACCTACTAGGTATAATTAAAATTTTATAATACTTTCTATAAATACATAATTTTTATAACATGTATGCAATCACATTTTATAGTACAACTTTTATAGTACTACAATACAGGTAGCAGAAGAAGAAATTCATATTATATATACACCTCGAAATGATGAGTTACTTTTATTGGCATTTCCAAAAAAATGGTAAGTTAATTGAATAATATTTATATAATATTATAATAATAAATAAATATTAATATGTATATATTTTAAATTATCAGTTGCAGTCTTGAAGAAGCTATTAATTTATCAAATGATATAGTAAAAACTTTAGAATTTGGATATCAGTCACTGACAAAATGTTTTACATCTGAGGAAAATCAATCTTCTTTAGACCATTTTTTTATTTTAATTATTCAACAATTATTAGATATAAAAAGTTATGCAACAAATTTAGAATTGACTAATTCTTGTATGGAAATTCATAATAATATTGAAAATATAGAAAGTTACAAATTTAGAAGCGCTTTTTCAGTTGCAAATTTTATAGAATTATCAAGAGATGCACAAATTCAAATTGATGCTGCTTTAAGTGAAATGGAAGCCATGGATTATAGAGATTGGGTATGTTTTGTAATAAAAAATAATAGAAGAAAAATGATATAATATAATCATATTTTTTTTTTTTAGAATGAAGATCCTATGGACTGTCAAAGATTATATACAATTTTAGGTAGTTGTATTTATCACAAACATTATCTTCTTGGATCTCATTTAATTCATAATGATTTGATTGAGATAGAATCTTATCTTAGACAAAACTGTATTTTAAATTTGATAAATAATGAACCTGTAAAGAGTCTTGTTATTTGGAAAAGAGTATATCCTTCTTCATATAATCATAAAAATATAGAAAATAATAAAAATAATCAATCACTTATTCCTAATGGAAAATGGTATTTACTTATTGTTGGATATGGACATGATTTATTAGCAGTTCTTTTAGAATCTGGTGGATGTACTGCAAAGTTAGTTTTTATAGTTTTTATTATTTATGAATTTGATTTTAATTGTTAGAAGAGATTAATTTTATATATATTGATTTGTTTATTTATTATTGAATATAGATGTAGTGAAATTATTGGTCCAAATATATTTTATGTAGAAGAAGCTCAAGAGACATTAAAACATATACAAAAAATAGGAGTAACAACATTAGCAGCCAAATGGATTGCATCTAACACAAGACCAGAAGTAATAACTTATGAAGATGTACCTATAAAATCATCTAGTATTACAGAAAATCTTCTAGGTCTCATAAAATCAACAGATGTACAAAATATATCTATTAAATCATCTCATGCTACAAATAGTAATAAGAGACCTCAAGAAATACCTTCAATTTTAAAAAAACGCAACATAGAAGAATTTCCTGTAGTTTTAGGGTCAGGTAAGAAATTATTTATTTTATTATTTTATATTAAATATGATGATTTAAAAATACAACTTTCTTATTTTAGTATATTCTTTGCATACATCAGAAGATTCATTAAGTCAAGGAACTGGTGGGATTAGTGAAATAAGTGATGAAGCAATGCCTATATTAGGAAGACGAGCAACAAGAGAAAAAATCATTAGTAAATCAAGATATTCAGATGATAGTGATTCCGATATTGATGTATATAAGGTAATTAGTACAGTGAAGTATATATTAAATTATAATTATATTATCTCATATTTTATTTTTTTATATAATTTTCATAAAGTTTACTTTATTATTATAGAATAACTGTCAAATGTTAAATTTGGATATATCTAATATAAGAGAAAATTTATTAAGTCAAGCTGAATATTTAGTACCAAAAGTTTTGACAATGGGTGATAAAAATTATTTATATCATTATGTACATTTAGACATGGTTGAAGGAATTCTTCTATCTTCAAAACCATTAGAACATTTAGGAAAAAATCCCAATTTTCTTATAAATTTTAATAAATGTGTTCATATTATCCACAGATTATTACATAATACAGTAAGATTTAAAGCAATGTTAAATTCAGATGCTGATAAAACTGTGATTAATAAGAGTTTAATTGCTGTTAAAGAACATGGCGTGTTATTTGAATGGGAAAATTTAACTTATTGGGTTGTTGGTCGATTATTTACAACTCCCCATCCAAAAGAGTTATATGTATGTTATCAGGATTCTGCACCACAAAATTTAATTGAAATAGCATTTAAATTACATTCATTGCACACATTAATATAAATTTTAATTTTTTTGATCATATAGTTTTTAAAAATCAAATATTTCCTATATCAAAAATTATGTTAAAAATATTATTGATATAAAATATTTGAAAAAGAAACAAATTTGTGAGATTTAAATTGTAAGTTTTACATAATAATTTAATAAATACTCTCAATATTAAAATATATGAATATTATATATTGTACTTTAAATAATATATTCAAAATATTTTTTACTTGTGTGAATATTTTTCATATTTTCAAAATATAGCTTATTTTTTTTTAGAAATACGTTTTGCATTATAATTTTTATTGGATAACATATTAATTTCTTCACTGTTGCGAAATTGAACTATGGGAATTTTTACACATACACAGGCACCTGCCATTTTACTGCCATAATGTCCTGCCCAAAATAATTTATCAGTACCGCCATGACAAAAACAAATTCTTCTAAGTCCAGGTCCATAGTTCTTAAATTCATGTAATATCTAAAATAAAATATAATTAAATTGTAACATAATTTTATTATTCTTAAAAATTTGGTTACTTTTAAAAATATTTTATCTATATATATATATTTATATATATGAAATATACCTGATGCCATTCATTTTGTTTTTCTTCTTCAATACTATCATGGAATTCAAAGGAGTCAATGATTTTATTATCTTCTCCTAATAATTTGATTTTACATTCATAGATAGCTGGACAATCCCAACGACAACTATACCATTCACTTACCTATATGTATATATGTATCATAATATTATAAATATAATAATATAAATAATATAAATTATAATAGCAAAAATATTTTTTTAAAAAATTTTATAAGAAAATATAAATTTTGTAATACCACTATTAAAGGTTGTAAATTGTCTAAAACATATGATGTCAATCCTTCAATTTCTAGATCAATTACTTGTGCTTTAGTGCATCTTCTATAAGAAGTAACAAAACAGAATTGATTTCCTTTAAAAATAGCTTCATTATTTGGCAAAGGTGAAACTCCTATTGGAGGATTTTCTACTTTCCAACGATCACCACCTTCATCAAGAATTTTCCATTTTTGCGTTCCGTATTCTCCAGAATGATTTTTTATCAAATTCCTTTCAAAAGGTTTCTTTTTACACATAAGATAATATGTATGCCAAGAAACCTCCTTATCAAAAAGAAGTGATCGACCGAAAATAATTTCTGCTTTTTTACGCCAAACATAAGTTTGAATTAAATTTTTCCAAAGTTTACACACCAATTGACAATTTAATAAAGAGTTATAATCTACATAGCAAAAAATTTCTGCTAATAATTCTTCTGGTAAGTATTTGCCACCAACAATTAATCCGTTTTCGCTTTTTTCATCAAACATTACGCTAGTAGTCATGTGTCTATTACTGTCAAGAAACTGACCCATTTTTATTTACAAATAATTGTTTTGATAAATAATATACAAATTGGTAATATTATTTTTTAAATGAAATATTTTTCATTTATTATTTGTAGTTTCGATGTTTAAAATATTTTAGATTTAATAGTGTAAATAGAATTTTTAATAAAATTTTATAATGTTCTTCAAATATTAACTAATCTAACCTTCTTTACAATACTTAAAATATATATAATAATTTTTTGTGATGTCTTATTATATGCATTTACTATTATTTTTTTAATCAAAAAAAATTAAAATCCACAAATCATATTTAAAAAGTGACTCATAAATGAGTCAATAAATTACATGCGTAATCGTTTAGATTTTTATACAAATTTGATATTATTAAACTTATTATTAATTAAAATAAAAATTTAAAAAATAGCTTATATATATAATAAATATAGTTTATATATTATACGTAAGCGTATATAGTTAAATATAATTATATAAACTTTTAAAATTATTGAAATCTTGAAAATTTAATTATTTAAAATATAAAATAGAACTAATAAAAAATTTGGGTAAATAAAAATTGCATCATACAATAAATGTTTTTTTATTTCATTTAGAATAATATATTTGATGTCAATATGCAAATCATTTAAATCTGAAAAATATTTAAAGGAAATAGGTACGTGGTTTTCTAACACTGAAAAGTGGCATACGATTCCTATGATGAATACGTTTTGGTAATGGGAATCTGATTTTTGAATCATGGAATTGCTTGACTTGTGGTCTTCTACAATTTGCAGCTTTTACAACTTCAACTTTAATAATTTGAATAGAATGAGCACGAGCACGATGACGAGCTCCCATATCTCTATAACATTGAGTTACAGCACCACTTACAGAAAGATCTCTGTATTCTCTATACATATTATGAGTTCCAGATCTAGAATCATATCTTAACCAAATTCCAAAATTCTTGATTTTAACTGGAGATTTTTCTGGTATCTAAAAAATAATATATATTCCATAAAATATTTCATAGAAATTTATACTTTAATATTTAATGAATTTTTCCTTAAATTAAAATTTTATATAACAATTACCTGTTTCAATGAAACAATTTCTCCTGTAGATTTTTTAAATTTTTTAAGTTGCCGTAAGAAATACCAAAATCTAGATTTTGCAACAATGGCATCAGGTGCAAATATTCTCATTTTATATAATGGTGTAGATTTTTCTTTTTCAGTCGGTAATTTACGACCTATTACTTCAAATTCCTTCAACTATAAAAAAGATTTTATTAGTTTTCAATTCAAACTAATTTTTTTAATACTTCTACATTTATTTCTGTTTTTTCAATTTTTTATTTTTGTTTTAAGTTTCGTCAATTATATTAAAGTCAATATGTATGTATAATAAAATTTAACATATTAAAATTAAATTTTATTAAAATTTTTTTTTCTTAACTCATATTATTCATAAAGATGAAAATAAATTTTATTATATTTTATATTTACTAAATATAAAAATTGACAAAACTATAAATCATGAGGACATGTGTTAGCAACAATGTCATGTTAGGTTAAGTCATTATTAATATATAATTTACAAATATTAAATAAATCATATTATAATACATAAAGTATAGTAATTATAGAATATTTTTTTAATTGGTAAATTTGCTATTCTTAAAATATACTTTTTAAATATAATTTGAAATATTTCCTTACTTCCCCCTTTGCCTTCATTTTGCTGTTCGTACAATATAACGATAAACCGGAAAAAGATCACAGTATTTTCAACCAGCTCGGAAACGAAGTCATTTAATTTTCTAGTGAAATATTATAATTTAACCATAGACAAAATATAACATAGATTTAACTGCTAATAAAATTTTATTATTTGTAAAATAAATTTTAATTTTAGATTATAAGATTAAATTGTGATAAGATGATATAAAAGAATAAATCATTTTTCAATCCCTAATCATAAAATAAATCATCGAAATTGATCGGTTATAATTTTATCATTATTATAAGATGAGAATAATATATTTTATTTAATAAGAATTATATATTATATTTTTTTATATTGTATTAATATATGTAAAGATTTATTATAAAAAATTTCATGTTCTTTATATATAGAATATCTTTATAATTTGAAATCTTTAAATATTCTTATTGATAGTATCTTTAATGGATAACGTAAAGACTTACATAATAGAGAATAAGATTTGTATGGTGAAATCAAACAATTGTTATCATTTTTGAAAAGATATTTAAAAAAAAAATACAATTAAAATTACAGTTAAAATTAAATATTAAAATTAGATATTAAAATTAATTTTACAATATTATTATCAAAGATTTTATCTAAAATTTAGGTATTTAAATTAAATAGGAGATATTAGTATATGTTAAAACATATATATTATGTAAATAATATAATAATATATTAAATTAATATAAATTAATGTGATTCACATATAAAAATAATACTTCTGAATTAAATTATTGTGTTTCAAGAGAAACAATAATTTTGTTGTTTTTTATTCAATTATTATATTTAATTTATTGAATTTTATTGAATATGTGATTGTCTTAATTAATTAATAATTATTATAAACAAGATTTTTTAAACTATAAAAAATACTATTGCGGTTACTGAACATAAAATATCATGCTTAATATATTGTTTATAAGGAAGAAAATAATTGTTCCTTATCATATTATATAACGATTAATAATCAATTGAAAAAAAAATTCGAGACATCAACAGGAAGCTATTATATTTTATATTATTTATGTAAATATTGTAATAGATAAAAATTTCTCGTTACGACGCGTAACAATATTAAATAATTAAGGAATGATATGTCACTTAAATGTTAATATTTTTTAAAGATAACAAATTTAAAATTTTATATTTGAAAATCGTAATTTTAAATCGTTGAAAAATTGAATGAGTAAATATTAATATGTCATTTCATAATACTTTATTTAAAGCTTTTTATAATCAAATTAACTTTGATTAATTTTTAACATTTCAGCTATTGAATTATTCAATAGCATAGATATTCATATAATATAAATTTGTAAATACATAAATAAATTATAATCATATTATACAGATTTTTTAAATTTTTAGATTTAATATTTGTCAATGAACCTGAATTACACATGGAATGTTGTTTGATTTATGTTTAATTGTTGGTATATTCAATCGATGAAAAACATGTAATATATCTTTTACAAATTGATCCATCATAGTTTGAGTATGTTTTGGAGTTGGAGCTAGCCTTAATTTTTCTTCTCCTTTAGGAACAGTTGGATAATTAATTGCTTGAACATAATGTCCTTTATCTTTTATTAATAAATCAGCTAACTGACTACATAATAATGGATCACCAATCTGAAAAAAAATTTATATTTAAATTTAATGTATAAGAAATAATACAAATAATATAATAATTATTTAAGTAATATACAAGAAAAATATACTTTTATTGGTATGATATGAGAAGGTGATTGTTCTAGTGGAAGATTTGCAGTACTTAAAATAGATTTCATATAAGCTACATTTTTTTGATGATTGGCCCTTAATAATCTTCCTTCATCAGAAGCTAAAATTTCAATAGCTGTCAAGGCACCATATAATACTGTTGGTGGTAATGAAGTTGTGAAAATAAAACCTGCTGCATAACTTCGTATTATATCTATTAATTTACCAGATCCAACAATATAACCACCAACATTACCAAAAGCTTTTCCAAGAGTGCCAGATATAATATCCATTTTATGAAGTACCCAATCTCTTTCTCCAATACCAGCGCCTGAATAACCATATAATCCAACAGCATGGACTTCATCAACAAATGTTAGAGCATTATATTTATGTGCAATATCACATAAGTCTTCCAAAGGACATATATCACCAGTCATAGAATGTACTGTTTCAAATGCTACAATTTTTGGTATACTTTTATCTATTTTGGAAAGAAGTTCTTCAAGATGTTGTACATCATTATGCCTAAAAATATGCTTTGGTACTCCACTGTTTTTTATACCCTGAATCATAGATGCATGATTTCCAGCATCAGAAAAAATATGACAATGTGGTAGAAGTTTTGCTAAAGTATATAAAGTAGAATCATTAGCAACAAAACAAGAGGTAAATAACAAACCAGCTTCTTTTTGATGCAAAGAAGCAAGTCTTTTTTCTAATATTTCATGTCCCATGGAATTTCCAGATATATTTCTGGTTCCTCCTGCTCCTGTACCAAATTTGTCTAATGCTTCTCGAACAGAATGTATTACTGTAGGATGTCGTGACATTCCTAAATAATCATTAGAACACCAAACAGTGATTGGTTTTTCTCCCCAAGAATATTCTATTGCAGTTGGAAAATTCTCTGCTAATCGATTGACTTTTTTAAATACTCTATAAGAGTGGTCTTTTTTTTTTTTCATAATCTGTTCATGAAAAAATTCTTCATATGGAAAACTTGCTTTTTCCTTTGATTCTATGGATGATACATTGATAATATCTTCTTCAATTATAGTACTAGCAATTTTTATAGCATTTTGTTCTTTAGCAAGAAATGGACATTGACCATTTATAGTATTTTCAATTTGTTGAGTATCTGCAATATCTGTCTGAGTACTAAAAAACTGAGACATTACTGGACAAAGTTGACGATAATTCATAATTATAGAAGTTCCATAATTTCGAATATAATTTGCAGAAAGATGAGTTAAAAATGGACAAGGCATGTTTTTAAATTGCCTAAAACATATAAAATTAAAATGTACAAAGATTGAATAAAAATTACATTTATTATTTTCAATTAATATATATATAAATTTTTTAAAATTACAATATTTATAAATTTTTAAACAATAATGAAGAATCGCTTTATTTCAAAAAAGGCTGTATTAAGGTCACTCAGACGTTATGCAAAACAAAGTTAAAAGAGAAAGTGAAATGACAAGTCATGATGATATGACATTTAAAGATTTTAAAATCACTTACCTATTATAATACTGAACAAGTGTTGCACTTTAATGTAATAGATACAATGATGAAAAAATTAAAATATATAAAAAATAAATGACAAATAAAAGAAACTTGTTTGTTATGACCGATTACTTAATGAATTCTATTATAAAATTAAGAAGTAAAATCGCACAACCTCTCTTAACGACAGATAGGCCAGAACTGAATAAGTGAATGTATCAGCATCGGCTTTACGAAGTTCGTTTATTAACAGTCTTAAAAAAGTTGGGTCGATTCAAGAAATCGAACAGGACATTTTACGTGATTTTCATTATTTTACGAAAAATTGTTTTACATAAATGATTGTAAATCATCGATTTTATATAAATGTTATGATTAAAACTAAAATAAATTTTTAAATTTAGCAAGTAAAATTTTTAGCAGCTATTTAATTATTTCAATACAAATAAATTTAACTTAAAGCTCTTATCCAAAAAAAAAGATCAATTTAATTAATGAAATATCATCATTTTCTATTCTAATTCTTTTTATGATATGATTTTTATTGATATACGTTAGTATTATTTAATGAAACAACCAAATATGCAAGACAAGATTTAAGCAAAGTATGAATAATATGAATAATAAACAATGAATATAACATAATTCATATTGATTTCAGTTGAAAAATCTTAAAAATAAAAAAAATATTATACAAGTTCATTTATAAGTTTTTCTTTTTTAAATTTTATTTTATTCTCGTCTTTACTTAAAAAAAAAAATACTAAATTTTCAATAAAATATTTATTTATTCAATAAAATATCTATACAATAGTACATGTTTTAAGATTTGATTGTAATAATAATTACAATAATTTACCATAATATTAAAAGATATTTTTTGATATTTATAATATTAATTAATTGTAAATGTCAAACATAAATGAAATTCTCGTCTTCTTAGCTATTTATTTTATAAGATAATGTAGCGCTTTTGAAATTAATTGAAATTTATATTTTACCATATGTAATATTTAACATATCTATTTTGGATATATTATATTTTTTTTTTATTCTGCAAATTCTCTATTAGATGCAAATAAATAACCAATCATTATCATTAAAAGGTTATCGTTATAATTCAATAAGTCCGTGCATTAAAATATAATCTATTTTATCTATCTTCATATGCATTTTTATGTGATAAAATGATAATTGTAATTATTAAATATCACTAAATTGCACACAAATATATAATAATAATAATATATAATAATAATATACGATTAATTATTTTTTAATGTTACTTTATTATTTATCTTTCATATTTTTATTTTTATTACAATAATGTTGACTTTGTTTTTTTTTTATTTTTGTTAAAAATGATGATAGAATTTTTTTTAAATTATTGTTAATTATTGTTTATACGATACTATTACGTAAATGATCTTAATATAATGTAATAGCAAAACATCAATTAATATTATATTAATAAATATTATATTTTGCTAATCCAAATATAATTATTAAATATAATTAAATACAATTAAATATAAATTATATTTATTTATAATCTAAAAATAAGTTTGTCGTGATCATTATTACATAATCTCTTAGAAAATAATAAGTTTTAATATATATGCATTATTTCTTGTTAAATAAAAAAATTTTAAAAATTTTCTTGCATTCTTATTATTGTAAATGATTTTTTATAACGTTTTATTTAGAATTATGTTCGAAAAAAAATGTTTTATTAATTTAAATCATTTATAATCATTTTTTAATAAATCAGTAATTTGTGTTTAACGAATCGGATTATTTTTTATTTTTTATAAAAATCAAATATATATTTGATAATATTTTTTATTATATTTTTATTCTTAATATTTATATATTTCATACTAGATATATAAAAATTATATAAATGTTTATATTTGATTATTTTCAAAACTAGAATAGAAACTGTATATATGTCTAATAAATTATCTTTAATTTTTAACTGTTTTTGAACTTCTGTTTATTTAAATTATGAACTTTTTAATTTTAATTGTAAGTATCAAAGATTTATTCTTAAAATGTTCTCCGGAAACCTGATAAAAAATCAATGTGCGTAATATATATTGAATTCTCTGACGACTTTGAACTGTATGCAAAACTTTCATACATTTTTTAGAATCATCATGTAGCTCTCATTTCTAAATTATATTATTCTTTATTTTGTTTTTTAATTTATTTATCATTATATTTATATCATAAATTTGTTTTGTAAATCAGAATTATTTGAATTTAGCTCAAAGAAAAAACTAATCTTTAATTAATTTTATACACACGCACACACGCATCCATGCATACGTGTTAATTATATTATAGTAATTCAATAGTAATTCAAAAAAATTAAGCAAACATATAAACTTTATTCATATATATGTATGAACTTAGGAAATAACAATTTTTTTCCAAATTGAATTTAAAAGGAAAAATCATGTCTCCATTACGATCAATTGTCAGCGGATAATTGAGCTATTCAGTTCCAGTTTGAGTACGTACCAATATTTGAAAGAGTGCATATACAAGATAAATAGTATTCCCAAGAACATTTAAGAAAAATATACTCATTACTATAATTATTTTCACAAGTATTCCGAATGTAGCTGTCAATATATACATTGCTATTGCAAGGCACATTTTCTATAGAAATCATTAACTAAAATTATGTATCGATAAGAAACAAAGGAAAAACGAAAAAAATAATATATACAAAACAAGAAAAATATGTATATATGTAAAAGATTCATCTTTTAAAATTAATTAAAATTAATTAATTAAAACTGAAATATTGATAATCAAATGAATATATGCAAATTATTAAGAATATTGAGCATTTAATGAACGATTTATTTTTTTTTTTAAAGTTGCATATCATAAACATAGTATTTTAAATTTTGGTACATAATTTAATATGTTTTTATTATGTATTTATACATACATTTACGGAATCGAATCATGAACATGAACAAAATCATATGATCGAAATTTATATTTGTTAACTAATTCACAATTTTGAAATAAATTATTTTTTATCGCATATTAATTTTTTTATGAAATTATTCATTGTTAACATAAATATATCGCAATAACAAATATAAATTGTTTTTAAATAAAAATTATTAAATACAGTCCATTATAAAAAAAACAATGCATTTTAAACAAAAATAATGAATGTTTATATCGATATTTTATTAATTAGATTTTTTTAATTAGAACTGAAGAACTAATATTATGTATATGTACATTTTTAAATTATAATGAAAAATAATATAATTAGTTATATAATACTAAGTAAAATATTTATAATGTAATACGAAATAGACAGAAAATTTAAAGGATTCAGGAATTATAAAAAAAAAATTCTTTGACTTATTTTTCGAATTATAAATAATTAATTTAATTTTGTATTAAATGAAATGAAACGAAGATATTATCGATGAAAACTGAACTATCTCATTTTATATAGTATAAAATTAAATTGTTTATAAAGACAAACGAACGTTATATTTGTTAGTTTCTAAAATTAAATTTAAAGTTTCTATCTACCTTGCATAATATCACTTAGAAGTAATTTGTTTTTTTATGAAGATTTATATTAATATTTTATTTTAATTTTTTATAATAATTTAATATAGTTTTAATGTACTAACAATAGTGTAATAATATTAAATGATATTTTAATGATTTTTCCATCAATGTAATTTGATTTGTAAAAATATTTAATTCTGAATATTTATCTATTTATTTAATTTTAAATGATTTTATTATTTATGAATCTAATTCTGAATCTATTTTCTAAAATATCAAATTGTAATATTTATAAATTACTAATTATCAAGAATAAAATTGAAATTAAATTATATTTTTATGACTTATAATAATAATATAATTTTAATTATTATTAATTTATATTTATATAATAATAAAAATTTTTAATTAATTTAATATTTATAATTATATATTATTTATAATTATAATTTATAATTAATATTATAATTAATAATTCATTTAAACTTTCAATCTGAAAATTATAAAAGATGTATGTAAATTAACATATATCATTAATAGATATTTGAAATATTTATAATTTTCAAATATTTGTATTTGTAACAAAAATTACTATATTATTTTAATTTCATATTTTTATATTTGTGTTTTCAAATATTTTATTAAATAATTATGTTATATAATTATATATATATATTTTTATATACTTTATTATATAATTATATAAATAATATAAAATATATATAAAAATATCAATTTCAAAAAATCATAAATTAAAAATTTTTAGTAGAAAAAAAATTTAAATCGTTAAATTTAAATTTAAAATAATTTAAATAATTTAAATTCAAAATAACATATATAATAAATAATGATTAAATAATTATAAAATAAGATATTATTATATAATTTTTTTTTGTTTTCTTATTACACTATTGCTTCAAAATATAATATTCTATAATTGTAAAAATATATGTATAATTGTAAAAATATAATATTCTATAATTAATTCTATAATTTCCATCAGAATTCATTTTTTTCTTTAAACTTTATAAATAGGCTAGTAGCAAATTACATACATCATTATTAAAAAATTAAAATAGAAATATATTTTGATAATATTTTTAAATATAATAAAGAAATTTACTATAATTTTCTAATATTAATATCAAAATTTTTATCATTTTTTAAAATATATATAAAAATTATAATAAATATATATAATAAAATTGTTGTTTTATATAATTTTAATATTACAAATATATCAAAATAGTAGTAATATAGTAATTGTATTTCAAATATATTTTTAGCTCACAATTTTGAATTTTTTTTATAAATTTGTAAATTTTTTATCATTTTCATTTTTATGTTCATTTAATGTCTTTTACTAGTTATTAAATTTGTTTTATATTCTTATTAATTATTTGTTTTATATTCTTATTAATTTTTAATTTTTGTTTCTTTATTTCTTTTTAGAAATTATAATTTTGTTTAAAAATGTTTGTTTTAAACTTGCTTTACTTATATTTGTTTAAAATCAATGTAAATGATATAGATTTCACAATAACAAATTTTCTTAGAATAAAAAAAAATAAAAATAATAATAATAAAATAATTTTGTTTCAAAATCATTTTTTTTATAAAATTTCATACTTGTCAATATTTTTTTTTTTTAATGAAATTCTATATTTCTTTTTTATAATCTTTTAAGCAGAAAAAATTTAAAAATTAAATCTATAATATCATAAAGTTTCTTAAGATTGAAATTA